TCTGACTGGTCACTTTCACACTGGCTTGCCTGAGAACCGTATGTGTTCTTAATTTCCAAGAATGCAAGTGGAACTATTTTGTGAAAATTCACAACTTACATGTTTGTTACTATGGTTTTCACTCTCAAGTGTGTCTTACCCAGCAAAGTTGCCTGTTGCTGAGAAGCTCTCTGGAGAAGCCTCCAAAGTTGTGACAATTTCTCCCCTGTCTCTGTTGACCACATGAATAAAAGAAAGGCTTGACAGCACATATGAGTGCTAAGCATAGCCAAATTTACTGCCTCATTACATCCAAATGCCTATAACAGAAGGACTGTGGGCCCTTTCCTCACCTGATTCTTTGAGAATTAACCTTTACAGGCAGTCTGCRAATTTGAAGTACCAGCATAAAACCATTCACTTTGCACCCAGCCCTGGGTGGCCACTGTCAGTTTAGTTCAGTGGCCATGTTTCATCTTATACTTGCCTGTTTCAAGATGCTAATCCCTTTTTCACAAAATTATTAATCACAAAGGGCTTTCAAGATGAAAGTTATTCTGTATCACCTCCCACTCACAGGGAAAGAAAAAGCTGCCCTAGACTGGCAGCCCAATACACTCTTAAGGATACAGAGGCCATGAGATCACGTTATCCTCTGAGGAAAACAGCAGTTCTCCAAATTAGAGAGCCTTTACATACCATCCCTTTCAAGCAATTGCCACATCTCCCTGAGTTGTTTTGGTGCTTGCAGTCAYGTTCAAGTCTTCATTTCCTCGTAAGGCACTCTGTTTCTGGCAGTGAGATAATGGCAGTTGTGCTCCAGCTGTTTCAAGTCCCCAAGACTCAGGGCTGCAGCTGAGTCGGTTTTTTCCCAGCCTCACATAGCACTATTCAATATCAACATATATTCCAAGCAAAGGCTTTTGCCAGGGTAAACCACATACCAGTCTTCTTTAACAAACTGCAGAGTGTCAGAGGAAGGACAGACACAGCATAAATCTTGTGCCAACCATCGTTTTCCTCAGCAGMATGGAATAAACAGTATTGAGAGTTAAGAGATGGTGATTCCAATTCTGTGAGTTCTTCCCTGCTCAGGATATTTGCTTGAGATGCAAGTAACCAGTATCTGAAACAGTTTTGTAAGAACTCCTTTGCGTTATTCTGGCTAAGGCATTTTCTTTGCCTGTGTCTCARTTCCTCTGCGGCTCCCACCTGCATTATGGGAACAACATCCCATCC